GAATGCGTCGTGCAATGAGTCATTTAGGTCGGCCATGAAACCTAAGCAGTAGACACTACCTAATTAATTGTGTTGAATTTGTCATTAACAGACTAACCATGGTCCCTATAGGCTGGAATTGAAATATTTTAATTCGGTAGGGCTGGACAATCGAATCTCAGGAAAATTTCCATTATTTACTCCTGAGTCATTCAGATTGCTCAAATAAGGTCGTAATGCTACCTTCTCTGGAATAACTTACGTTTTGAGCTTGGTTAATAAAACCATGGAAAAAATTGAACAGGATTCATAAGAACCTCGCCTGATTCTCTAGAACCCTTGGACTTTCTAGAGGGGGTAGCAATACTCTAGCAGAAAGTGTAATGCCGACGTATATGAGTTAGGTATTCACGGGCACAACACGGAGGCCTTGTAGTGCAACGGAAGTACATTACATGAGCTTTAAGTTCTCTTGAAGCCAAAACGATGAGTAAAACAACTATTTGAAGTTACATTCGTTCTCATGCGTGGACCATCACAACGTGGTCGGTGCTGTAAGCAAAACACGTACATAATAACCGTGACAGTCATCGAATTAGCGTGCAACTGGGAAGATACTAGTTCGGAACCTTACCGATCTCTCTTAGCAATTCTACTGGATCTGGAGTTTTCTCATGCTTGAGAGCTGCATTGTGGAAGGAAAAGTGTGTAGGCCATCACGTACGTGAGGAGACAGTTTCGCGTCTACCTCTCCTTGCAATGTTGTTTTCACTTAGTGCTGCCCAGCCATATATCTACCCTTGTTCCATCCGCCCAGTAAAGAAGTAGAGGAGGTAGCGCGTGTCAACTTCATTAACATCTTCATACAAGTACTGCTGGCAGTTCTGTAATTAACTTTTCCAAATGACTCAAGGCCAGTGTCACTTTAGCTGTTAATAATATCCCTGTGGAAAAGGGGATAGGGATGGTTGCCGAAGGTGGAGGTCATTCACAACCCTCCCATCCGACTTCCATGCTCCAGAGTAGCATCCGCCACCGCAACTTCTGAGACGTGGGCTACTGCCGCATCTACTGAGATTGATTCTTGCTATTTAAAAGCGACTTATTTGACGTCTAAGTAGAATCACTGAGCACAGAGTCCAGCTACCCCGTTTGATGCAGAACTAAAGAAAAGCATATCATCCGTGGTTGCTTCAAAGTTTATCTAATTTTATCGCCACATCAATCTGTTTTACAGAATCACTATTTTAGAGAGGGTAAAAGCGTCAACGACTAGGATACAATACTTAAGTCAATTGTTCGTTTTTAAGTAGAGAAGATACATTTTTCAAACAACATAATTGTTTTCTTAGAATCGGTTTATAAAAGAGCCTCTAACACCACCGAGCGACGCTGTAAATTTAGCACCCATGCATTTTGTTCCTATCTTGGCGGCTGTAGTTTCCAGTTAACAAGACCACTGAGGTGCCTCAAGTGTATACTGCTGATAACTTGCCCAAATAATTCAGAAAAAAAAACTACTCAGATATTCCTGCAAAACTTAAATTACTTAACTTTCGGTTTTGGTAAAGAGCCACTGAGGGGCTCCACCATTATACCTCCACCGGGTGACCTGACATCTAGACCATGTCAGTAACCCCTCGTGAGTTTTACAATCTGTCCGAGTAACAGGCCTTCTTTCGTCTACATGGGGGTCTCGGGATGCTACATTTCCTACCTGAATCCCTTCTTATGTTTCTCTTTCCTCAGACTGCTTCTTCGAGTAAGCATTAGAAGTGTTTTAGGGAGCATTATTTTTGGCGACTTAGACAAGTCTATCGACCTCTGGCTCGGAGCTTAAGGAATTAAAAATTAATGAATTAGGGAAAAGGCACTCGAGTGGGTGATGGGCACCTTTTGTAAGATGGTACAAGTAAAGAATTCCAAACTTGATCTTATCGGCCTTCTCTCAATCTCTATAAGCAAATTTACTTTTCTGTGCTTTTTAAGGGTTTCTTACTATTTGTGCTTTACATCTCGGGCTTTCTTATTCCTCTTTACTGTACCAAGTCCGGCCTGAAGACGCAGCAAGGCATACTAATGTATAGAAAGGGTTTATGCTGAATATGCAAAATACAAGTAGCTAAGTATGTAATAAGATAAAACTTTCATTATATAGTTGCTCAGCTATGCTACAGCCCTCAAAAAGGATTTATTTAGAATCACTGACGATGGGCAGCAAACGAGCAGATGTTGACACCGGACTGTAAACTTAGGTGGTGCAGAAAAAGAGGTTGGCGACTTTCATATTTACCCTAAATCGCCTTTTACGACATGTCTGCAACAGTACAAAGTGGCACTCAAGACCCTATTTTCTTTACCATAGCTTCCAAACGTATGCATTTTTAAATTCATCCAAATACATGCACTTCCCGAGTATGCTACAAGAAAACAGTAGATAACTTCTTAAAAAATTATCAAAAAATGACCTTTCGATCTTACGTGAAAAAGCATTGTTCTTAATTTTCCCATGAAGAAAAATAATCTCTGAATATCCAATTTCATTAATTATTATTTGTGGCTAAAAAGCTACTTATTTTTTACCTTATTGGCCATACACAACCATAAATGTTTATTTTATCCAAGCATAATTACCTTAAAGTTCTGTTCTGTTCTACGTTCTGATCTCATAAGAACTTGGATAAGGCATTTTTCCTGTTTTACTGCTGCATCCCGAGCCCATTCTACCCAACCACCAATCCAAAGTCACTAATTACACGACTCTCTTGGTACTGAGTGTTTCTTTCTTACTCTCAAAAAAATAATGGTCTCTCTATTATGGGGCGCCTGGCGCCAAAACACCACTAAAGTCTGAAATTATGCCCCTAGATGTCAACGTCTTTTTATTTCCCTGTTCACTGGTTGTCCAGGCTACCCACCTAATGACCCAACTAACTAAGGACGTTTTATGGTCAAATTGCATTAAATGCTTTGTTTTGAAGACATTGTCAAAATTTGATTTATTTGTTTTCGAATAAAGTAAGTGAATTCGTTGAAGCCCCATATTATGCTTCGAATGGCAATTATTTAAAGCCTACTTTTAATGGCCAATAAAAAATTTTGCAAAAGCTTGCATAAGGCCTCCTTTTTTAGGAATGTGGTCATATGTGTGCCTTAATAAAAGGTGGGTTATAATCGTTGTGTTTTTAAGCAGACGCCTCAACCTGTTTTGGTGGGCTAGATTTAATGGCCCATCAATGCCGCCGCCGTTTTATGGACGATTAAGTGCTTTACATCCGCGATTAAGTTGGTGCTCTTTTGAAGGTTTGATGATCACAAATCATTGTAGCAAATTACGACTACTGCATGCAGTTTTGACTCAAAGTAAAATAAGGCAGCTTAGGCTATCTTAGGGCAGATTGCAGCGATTATTTTATTATAGTCTGTTGCACCCATCCGAAGTACTGCCAACTTAGTAATGAAAATGTCCCAGACTTTTGCAATTATCAAGGGCACACACAAGCAAACAGATCATAAGGACGGCAGACACTTCCTATCTATGCAAAAACTTTCGAAGGGAAGGGAAGGCCATTACTAAAACAACGGGTAAGATCCGTGTAAATAAACACCGGAAATTAGTGTCACGTGAGCGGAACTTATTTATGTGATGGAATAGAGCACATTAGGAGCATTACAAACCTCAAAGGGATGAATATTTTTGTTTGGAAAGTGACCGTTAGATTATCATCTGAGAAAACATGACGTTTTTCACGTGCGTGAGATACTGAACGGTGTAGAATAAGATAGCAGTTATTACAAAAACCGCCGGATATGATATGGGGTACTGGTGCCGAATAAGGATTTATTATCGGCGTGCAAATTGGCCGGATAGCGGTCAACAGCACCAAAGCGCTGGCCATTTAAACCAGATTATACTCATTTACATAATCTCCTTCCTTCTGTACATGGTCATCTTTGACGAGTTTACCCGTGAACTGCAACCAGCGCTGAGATAGAAAGGGAGATCATGCAATGATCTTGTATCTTAGTGGGTATGCCATCTACTTGGGTAGAGGTAATACACATAGTGAACTGCAACAAGAACTGCATTGAAGATAGTGCTAAAGGCTGGATGATTTTGTACAGCTAACCAATCGCTCCTCTCGGAACCAATGCATGATAGCAACTTATGAAAAAAAGGACTTTCATAGCCTTAATCATGACATAAAACATTGAAGTCATGGTAGCACTATAGATTTTTCTTCCAAATCGGTTTATTTATTTAAATGCGCTTTTGCTTCATTGCTGGTCGTTATTCATAACTCGAGAGTGAAGGAGCTGTCATAGGTCAGCGTAGCCTCATTAGACCCCCGTTTGTGAGACTTCACAGTTTCAATCAACCATAAGAGGTGCTATTCTTTCGGGAAGTTTATGCATGGCATCCGGCCATCAAAATCAGGATTTTTGCGCATTTGAGTCTGACTTATCCACAGCAACAAGTATAAAGACAAACTGATTATTGAAGACTTATGGGGTTAATTATTAAAAAAGGATTTTGGATTATGAGCCATGGCACCAATGTGGGAATCGAATCGCGGGGATTGAAGAGATCCTTCTGGTAAATGTAGCTTTTACAGTATTACTGTTTTACTGCACTTACTGTGACCGAATTACCCATTACTGGTGCAAAAAGTAGTAGATGTATGCAATACCTAAGTGTACTTTAGCTAAAAAGTGTAATTTATCTCTTAATTTATCCTTGGTCTTGTAAATATGGGACATTAATGGCATGTAAATGGGTTTTAGCTATATATTTTTAACTTAAAATTGAGACCAAAATTACCAGGACAGAATCAAAGCCATTAAATTTTACTGCTTCTTCTGCAAAAATTTGCTGGACTCTTTGGTATTAAGTGGGCCTTTATTCCAATAAAGACATGATGGCACTTTTGAATGGTTTATTCGCAGTTCTGCTGACTGAAGCTTGAGTTTTCCTAACTTCGTAGAAAACTAAAACCCATTAAGCGCTATTCAATCCTCACTTTGTATACAACTAACTCACCACGTAAAATGCTGCCTTCCATGAGGCTTAATGTTCCTCTTGAAATTCATACTTCGCCTGAATGTTGAGGCAAATTATAAATCATGCTTCTGGATGGTCATCTAGGTTAGGTTTTTTGCGAGAAGGTAATCACGTTCAAACCTGACTTTTATTGGTCGAAATAGTGGTGGTTTATTTTTTAAGTAAATTTTTTAAAAATTGTGTGCAACTATTTAATTTACATTAAAACTTCAAAGATGTATGCGGTTACAAGTGCGGCGGGAATTGAGAAGGGAAGCCTATCGCGTGACTGGAACGAATGAGGCTAAATCAGGGAATTCGATGACCCCCCCGAATATATGGACGAATGAAATGTGTCAAACCACCTTCTGTCACCTTGAATTTGAGGAACTGTGAACATACCTACCATATGCACTGAACGATAAAAAATTCTTTCCTCTTTTGGTGGTTTGATGTCTCCTCAAGTAAATGGTAAAGCTGCGTGGAAAACTGAAATAACTAGGACTTTTGATTACTTTTGAAGAATGTCATTTACGTCTCTACTACTTCGCAGTAAGTGATGGCAAAATTAACATGATTAATGTCGGTTGCGATTTCAGTGGGATACAAAAACAAACACTTAAATGGGGAAAGGCAAATCTATGTAGAAATATTGCGCTGTAACACGGTTAGAGTTCACACTAGTAGCAGCAGTTGGCCAGCTAATCCTGCCTAAGTCGTGTGAAAGGATTTTATCTTGCAACAATTGAGGGCTTTATGTGAACCATACCCTTCCAACTAAACCATCGAATGTGAACAGGTGATATTTTACCTCCCGTAGATCATCAATTACCCACAAGCTCACTGCCACGTCAGCAGGCACGGATTTCCTGTTTGAGAGGTGGAATGAGGCGTCAACAAAGCGGTAACAGACTGTAATGCATGCATAATGAGATGACTGAGATAAATGCTTCAGAATAAACAGACATTTAACCATATTGACTCTACAGCATTATTCTATTTCGGACAAGGAAAGTGCCATCTGTTCGCTTAATTATTCATTCTGAGGGATAAGCTGACCAGTTATTTACCAAATGCATTGGCTGGGTTATTTGAAAAAAGCCATCCCCAAATTGCCACAGTTGGCATTGCATGGCCAGATGGTTAATAATCAAATAACACTGCTGTTTTTATAAGCAAAATGGTAACAGAGAAACTGAACTGTAGGACCAAAAAAAAGGAGGGATTTAATGAAACACACCTGTGCCTTAAAATGATGCTCTATCCTAGGACAAAATGATGTGTTCCACTGAATGAAGTCCAGCCAGAGGGGATGATCCACGCGTTCAAATAATTACTGATTATAGGCGTCAAGAAAACTGCGTACAATTCGCAAGCAGCTTTTCCAGCAGGATTCACACCATACAACGTATAAGCGACAGCAACGATTTGTTTGCAGGGTTTGGAACGATATCCATCATTCATCAATCACGGAAACAGACCGAGAGATTAGTAGCTGATACTACGTAGAGACAGACGCATTGAATTGCGGTTTAATCTGCCAAAGCTGTATTGGTTTGCCTATTTTGACATTTTGGCACTCATACAGACACTGTAACCCTAATTTTGGAGTTACTAGACCGTATTTTTGACCGACATTATTGTCGCCAGGGCTTATTTACAAGATTGCCCTCACATTTAGCT